GATTGAGCAACTGGAAATAAAGAGAGCCAGCATCTATTGACCAACCATTTCTCTACAGACAATCAACAACTGCTGCAGTCCTTTGGCCGTGCATTCTGCACTGGATGTGGACAGTTGTTCTTTCTTGAGATTAGGCTGGCCACAGCCTCTGGCAGAGACTGATATCAGGGATTGATTTAGTAAATTGTCTCCTTTCAGATTTTTCTGCCGTGGTTAATTAGTTTGGTGGTGGGAACTGCATGAACATTGGTGTAGGGAGTAAGGAAGTGCTTCTTCTGTTGTGAGCATTGTTTGTCAGACCTGTGGGAGAACACAACGTGTGGGGCATGTGGAAAAATAGTGCCCAGTTGTTTAAAATCCAGAAATCTCAGGACTTTGAGTTTCTGATCCTGGCTATGCTTCTGGCTCACTTGTGTAATGTTTGACAAGTCTCGTGAATCTCTGTGTACTTCCTCTTCCCCACCCATAAAATGGAATAATAATGTAACTGTTGATTTGGGGAGTGGGCAGTTGTGAGGGTTTGTAATATTTGTAGAGAACTTTGCAAACCTTGGATGTGAGTGCTGTAGAAGTGAGGCAAAATATTGTTTATAGAAGCCTTGTGGAAAGATAATGTCCTTGTGGAAAGAGAGAGCCGACCTACTTATTTGCCTGTATAAGTACCCCTTTTTTTGGGGGGGGTGCAATAGGATTTGATTGATATCTTTTTTTTTTTTTTAGTTTGGATTAATATCCATAGGTACGGATGAGACCTTAAATACTGACTATAGCTTACAGTGGATGTATGGGCGTGGCTTTGCCCTGACTGCTTCTTTATGGGTATATTTCACAAATGATTTATATATTTTAAAAAAAAGATAGTATAAAGATGACTATCACTGGAAAGAGAGCACTGAAGGAACACTGTGAATGTAAAGTGCAATCAGGGTTTTGTTTTATTTTGTTTTGTTTTTGTTAGATGCTTTCACAGCTATATGCTGCCACTAAGTCTCTCTGCTTAGGCTTCTGTCTTTAGGACAATTTAGAGTGGTTTTTTTTTTCCTTTTTGCCATCTGTGAAACACAAGGTAGCAGGGGAAGTTAACTAGACACAACATGCTTTTTACTTTTCTGTTTGTTTCATGTATTTCACTATCACAAATCAGTTTCCCCTATTCTCATGGGTTCAAAGTCATGTTCCCCTGTCAAGGTGGGTTTATTCTTACCAAATGTTTTATCTACTTTTTCAAGTAGAAAAAAAACACTTTGTTTTAAAATCCCTGAATGAATGATTTTTCCCACTGGTTTCTATTAGCCTCATCCCCAAAGGCAGTGGGACAATTTCACAATTGTAACTACTTTGATTGATCTGTTTTATGTCTAAACACCATTGCTTTCTAGTTTTACGTCATGCATTTCCTTGATTACGCATTACACAGCAGTGTAGCTATCAAAATAGAATAATGGTTTTCAGGAAATTGCCAGGAAATATTATTAAAACTTTAGGCAATTCCTTTCTCATCAGGGGGTATTTATAAAACATGTGCCCTTGATGGAGAAAATTGACTTACTGGCCAAGCCTCAGTCTATTGCACATTAAGTCCAGGGTTGTCTGTAATTACGCAAATTGTAGCCTCTGTCTTTCTGACTTTGCTGCCAACTCACTGTCATTATTGTCTCATTCAGCTTGCGAGACTTGATGTTTTTCTTAAAGCTCGAGCTCCTGGAGTCCTACATATATATGAGAATCTCCTCTTTCTCCCCTCCTTGAACAAGGGCAAATTTGAGCCCATTTTGTAGCAGAGAGAACCACAAAAATGTGATCAAGTGTACCCTAAAGGCTAATCAAGAGCCTCACAGTCATGTAAAAACCCCCAAACAAACAGAAAAAACCTATACTTGGGGGGCGGGGGGAGCAGGGTCTGATTAATGATTTTTTTAATTTTCCTCCCCCCAGATATTGTGTGTAGTATCCATGTCATGTATCTTTTTAAACAAGGATTGTTTGCAGCAATGAACCTAGCACAGCTACAGGAAATATTCCTTACCAGGTGCGTGGACCCTGTGTTATCCCCATCTGAGCTGTGTGTTTAAAAGGGCAAACTCTCTCTGGCTACGTCTAGACAACATGCCTTTTTCAAAAGAGCATCTAGACTACAGTCAGTACTTTCCAAATAGTCGGGTGAAAACTTATTCTAAAACAAGCTGATGCTTTTCCTGTGTGCTCAGAAGACTCCAGGAACTGGGGCTCAAATTAAAACACCAAGTATCATGAGACTTAGCTCATGCGCCGCGAGTGTCAGCAATGCAGAGAAGGAGACATTGACAGGACCAGAAGGGGGAGCGGGGGGTCTAAAACAGCAATGAGCCTGCAAAGATCTTAGGATGCCAGCTCAGCAGAGCAGGAGCTACATGTCCCTGCAGGTCTGTCCAGTGCTGAGCACATTATGAATATAGATACAAGTTTTTTTTCAAAAGAGGGGGTGGCCAAGGAGGATGGGCAAGAAGAAACAGCAAGGAACCTGAGGTTGGGGTGCTGCTTTTAAAAATAGCTTTTGGCTTTGATTTTCCAAAGACCAAGTCAATAATCCTCGCTGGGAGATGGTTGACATGTACTGTGGGCATACAGTAATTTGATATACAATGCACAAAAAGGTTAGTGTTCTAAATAACTTCCTTGGCTTGTGGGCCCTGAAACAGCTTCTCGGTGATCTGCCTTATTTGGTTGATGGATGAGAGGGAGTTGGCATGGTTTTCCGTACCCTCGTAAACAGACGTGCCTACCTTTGGGGGAATGAAGGGGTTTTTGTGTTAGTTAGCATCTCTATCACCAGGCCATTGAGAGCAATTCTGGGCCCCAGGGCAGAGCTGTCAATGTACCCCTCCCCTCCACACACACACACACACACACACAAGCTGCGCCTGCCGTCTGCCTGACTTCGGGGCAGTGCTGTGCCTGCACCACTGCTGCCCAGCCAGCTGCTGGCAGGGCGAGTGCTCCCCCATGACCACCCAGCAGGGTTGCCAACTGTCTAACTGTGCAAATCCAAAGACCCTTGCCCCTACCTCTTCTCTACCCCTTCACTGTGGCTTGGGCAGGGAGCTGGGAAGCAGGAGGAGACAAGGGGCGCAAGTTCTGGGAGGGAGTTTGAGCACAAGCTTTTATAATGGAGATTGCCTATCTCCCAGAACTGGAAGGGACCTTGAAAGGTCATTGAGTCCAGTCCCCTGCCTTCACAGCAGGACCAAGTACCATCCCTGACAAATTTTTGCCCCAAATCCCTAAATGGCCTCCAGAGGATTAAACTCACAACCCTGGGTTTAGCAGGCCAAGCTCTGGCCTGAGACTACAGTTTCCAGCCAATAGGAGCTGTGGGATCTGCACTCAGGCTGGGGACTGTGTGCGGAGACATTCCACCATCACCAGGGGCCACAGGGACATGCTGGCAGCTTCCTGGAGTGACACGTAGCAAGACCAAAGAGGAACCTTGCTATAACCCCACCTGGCTGTTGGTGACCAGGGACCTCCCTACTCCAGGCCTTTGAGATCACCCAGGCCTCTGAGTAATTGCTCCTTTGTCCACCCAGTCAGTGTTTATAATTAAATTTGACCCTCATGCAGATCACCTTGTGTTTGGAAGCTTTGTGGCCATGAGGGCACCGGGCTGGTCCACACCGAACTTTTCATATGTTTGTCTAAAATATGTTCCTCCTTGTGGTCCCAGAAGGAATAGCTGGTATATCTTTGATGGGGGTAGCAATTGTGCCTGTCTGTTATGGTTGCTCAGGAGGCTAAGACTGTATCCATGTCTATGCTACCTCTCAGCTAATCTACTCTAACATTCTCCTGTTATCTAGGGCTGCAGGTCATAGCTGTGCGTTAGCTACCCAAAACGGGACACTTAGGGGCACAGTTCTGGTGCTCAGGGTTCTGTCCTGGTTTTTTGCTGCGTTTGGGTTCCATTTCAGCATGTCAGTGGGAATTATCTGGAGTTCCTCTAACTGGGGCCATCTTTGCATTTTTGTCCCATCAGAGCAGTTGATTATCTGGGTGGATGGTAAGATTTGTCTGAGGACGTTCCATGACTTGTTATGCTGATTGGTGATGTCAGTGGCTTGAAAGCACGGTGGTGATTGATTGACAGTGAGAGAACAGAAGAATAACTAGATACCTCTCCATGACTCCATTAACGTGTGCTTGTACAAAGCTATCACTAATCCGTATTGCTAAAAAAACAACCTCAAAGAATTAACAAGACTCTTAGTAGCTGAAAATCTGGGCTGTTGAACAGGAGCAACTTGTAAAATCATGCAGGGGTTGGGATTTATTAAAAACCAAAAATGGCGCCAAACTCAAATTGGATGGTAAGAGACCACCAGGCCTACTGATGATTGACCTTGGTGATATTCTGTACAAGACGAGCTCTCCACCATGCTCAGAGCTGATTCATCATGTCACACTGACTCAATAGGCATTTTTGGCTTCTGAGTGACACTGCTGGAATTGTACTATATAGCTGGCAGTGGTGATGAAGTCCTATTGGCTATTCAGAGGAAATCTTGGATGGAGAAATCTGACTTTCATTGACTATTTAAGAAAAGTTATTCACAGTCACTAGCTAAGGACGTAAAATCCTGTTTAATCAATTAACCTGTTAACTAATTAAGTGGGGGTGGTGGTGAGGGGCTGATGCTTACCCATTAACAACCCTATCACTAACTGTGCAACGGGAGGTCATGGTAAATTCTGTGTGCTATGAATTTTCTTTTTAACCATTCTTGGCTCATGTCCTCTATAGAAAAGGATGTTCCACATTGCAAATGTGGATCAGTTTATGCTAACTTTCCTTTCCTGTTGAGGTCAAATGGAAGAACTTTGTAGCTAATTGTCCTCTGTTGCTTTTTTAATACGTTTCACTTTTCTCTGTGTTGACACACTGGCAGTGAGCGCTATGGAAGAGTGTAGACTTGTGGAAATACAAATTGCCATTCAGTGTGGTGTGTTTGTGTGTGTTTTGCCAGCCTCTGTGCTTATGAAAGTAGACAATGACAACTGACGAGGCCACAAAGAATGAAGGAGAGGTCCAGACAGCAGCTCTCGCTGAACGGGGAGACGATATCACACCCAATCAAGATCGAGGGGTTCTGAAGGTGAGACCATCGCAGAAGCTAATGGCACATTTCAGTAGCTCCTCTCCTAATTCAGTGAATCTAGGGCAGGGGTGGGCAATAATTTTTGACGGGAGCTCCACTCCAAGATTTTGGAGAGTGGTCAAGGGCTGTACTCTTCCGTGACATGAATGGAGGAGATGCGTGGTCTGGGATGGAGGTTGGGTGAAGAAGGGAGCTTGGAGTAAGGGATTGGGGTACAGGAGAGAGACCAGAGTCTGGGAAGGAGTTTGGGTGAAGGAGGCAGTTGTGACCTAGGGCAGGGGACTGCAGAGGTTTGGGATGTGACCTAGGGTAGAAGGGTGTTGTGATCTGGGGCAGGACATTGGGGTGCCACATCTGGGAGGGGGTATGGGTGCAAGAGGGGGACAGAGGGTTTGGGTATATTGAGTTGGGGGGAGGCAGAGAGTTGGGGCAGGAAAGGGCTGGGATGCCACAGGCAGGCTGTTGGTCACCTAGAGGAGGACTGTGGAGAAGGACATGAAAAGGAAGGGCATGACCCGGGAAGAAGTCAGCCGGCTTTCTCAGGACTGTGAAGGCTGGAGAAGATTAGTTGGCGTCTTATGCTCCATCAGGAGCGAAGAGGATTAATAATAATAATAATTAATAATCACTGGAGGACAAGAGGAGTGGAGAGGAGGGAGGCAGTTGGGGTAACTCAGCTGAGTTCCCACTATTTTTTCCCTTTGCATGCTCCAGCCCTGGAGCACCCATGGGAGTTGGCTTCTATGGGTGGGAATCTCAGAAAGAAAAAGGTTGAGAACCCCTAATCTAGTTATCTAATTCCCTTTACAAAAATAGGAAGACTAAATGACACTAAGAACAAACTGCAGTACAGACATCTAGCCTTCCCTGTGAATTTCACTGCTATTGTACATCCAGGCAGCATATTTATGCGTTTTTCATAAGCTTGTCCCTCGATCTAATTTCTATTACTTAGTTTAGCTAACCTGCTCCACAGCCCCTTTTTCTATCTGTACATTTTCTAATGCTTGGTCCTATCTGTCTGAATATAACAGTTTCCCCAGTGGTATCTCCTCTATGTGCACACCATGTTCCTCCTCGCCTCCCTGCTCCTTTTAAGCTTAAGAACTGCCTACTCTAAACCGTAGCATAGAAGCATTTTGACCAAAAGTAAATGGAATGAATTCATCCCTATGAATATGGCATTAATTTGGCTGCAAGTATTATTTTGCTAGTTAAGTTCCTAAATATGTTATTTTAAAACTTCCCCAAAGCCTTTGCAACTCTCTGTATTCAGACCTGTAAAATATCTCTGTTTAATCTTAGAAAACTAGAACTGGAAGGGACGTTGAGAGGTCATCAAGTCCAGTCCCCTGCCCTCATGGCAGGACTTAGCACCATCTGGATCAGTGGTCTCCAAATTTTTTACACCCAAGATAACTTTTTAAATGTCAGGACAAGCCAAGATCTATCCCATCCCTTCCCGAAGACCCCACCTCTTCCTTGAGGCCCCGCCATCTCTGTTCCCTTCCTCTCCATCACTTGCTATCCCCAGCCCTTCTACATTCTCACTGGGTTGAGACAGGAGGTGCGGGCTGTGGGATGGGAATGAGGGATTTGGATGTGGGAAGGGGTGAGAGGTACAAGCTGTGGGAGGGAATTTGGAAGCAGGAGGAGGGATGGGGGGCGGGTGGGGGGTGGGGGTGCTGAGAAAGCCACAGGCTTGTGGATGTGAGGGTGCAGGAGTTTGGGTTTGGGTGAGTGATAGGCTCAGGGCACAGATTTGCAGTGTAGGAGTGTTGTGGCAGAAGACTGAGGATGTAGGGGTGCAGGAGTTTGGGGATGTGAGAGGCTCAGGACAGGGGATTCCAGTGTATAATAGGCTCAGATTTGAGGTCTGGGTGTGTGTGTGCAGGAGCGTTATGATGATGCTGCAGCCGGACGGGGGCTTGGCCCCAGTTGGGGGCTTGTTGACCAGGCTTCATTTTTAAATAAATTATGTCAAATACAAAAGGTTTCAGCATTGTCTTTATTTATGAGAGGGACAGGGAGCCTGTTTTGAGTCAGGGGGTCACTGACCCACAGAAAAGTCAGTCGGGACCACACAAGTGAGATGCAAAAAAACAACTTCTCCTAAACCCCCCAAGCCTCACTAATGTGGCCCCAACTGTTCTGGTGGGGGCAGGGGACAGAGTGCAGAGGCAGGGTGCTGATGAGGCAGGTGGGTGCTAGGGCAGGGGACAGGCTGCTGGTGGGGGATGGGGCAGGGTACTCATGGAGGGGTCTGGCCAGGAGGAGGGGACAGGGACAGCTCGGGCCAGTACTTGGGGATCCTGCAGCTGCACACCAGGTCCGGATCTCAGGAAGCACGTGCGCTGTTTTCCCCCTCCCCAAACAGCTGGCACATTTCCTGAACAATCGGATTTGTTGCACGCCAGCAACTTCCTTCCCTTGCTGCCTTCCTGTGCAGGGGAGAGAGAGAGGGAGTAGGAGTCCCGGGATTCCTGCTCCTCCGCTCCCCGTGACAGCGTGCACTTCCTGAGCAGTTGGACCTGGTGTGGTCCCGGGACACCTACTCTCCTCTTGTCCCCCACACAGGAAGGCAGCAGGGGAAGGAAGTCACCGGCGTGCGACAGACCTGGCATTTCAGGAAACATGCCAGCTGTTTGGGGGAGGATGGAGCAGCCTGCGCACTTCCTGAAACCCCGAACATGGCGCACAGCTGTGGGAGTCACCCACCCCACCCCGCAGGAAGCCAGCCAGCTAACATTCCTGTGGTGGGAAGAACACCTCAGCAGTCCAGCACCCTGGCATTTAATTTCAAAAAGGGGAATTACACAAAAATGAGGAGGTTAGTTAAACAGAAATTAAAAGGCACAGTGACTAGAGCCAAATCCCTGAAAGCTGCATGGAAACTTTTTAAAGACACCATAATAGAGGCCCAACTTAAATGTAGACCCCTAATTAAAAAACATAGCAAGAGACCTAAAAAAGAGTCACCGTGGCTTA